TATTGCATTTCAGTAGCATTTCCAGGAAATTGGTACTGACTGCTTTAATCCCTCTGAATATTTATTTACCACATCAAACACGCAGAAGATATCACTGCAGCCATTAGGCACATGTCACACTGGGGACTGATGTGGCGCGCACACACGCACACACACACACACACACACAGATAGAGAGAGAAGGGCGGTGTACCCCTCCCCCTCCTGTCCAGGTAGCGCGGCACACCGGCCTCCCTGGTGGAGGAGGAAGTGCGCGTGTCTACGGTGCCAGTGCGTTTTAGAGGAAGTTGAGAGTTCTGTGACGCGAGGAACGGGTTTTGTAGGCTGGGTCGGTTTCGCCATACCTTTGGGGGAGGGTACACTTGCACTATGACACAAAGTGCTACTGTATCATCGGTACATGTCTCCATTGCTTTAACAACGTAGATATATTGTTATAATTAACATTACGTCACTTTGCGCACAAGCATTCCACAGCACGTCAGGGGAAATCACATTGAAACGAATGGTACCAAGAAGTCAATATAATTAGGAATGGCTCATTAGTGTGTTGATACATTGGCAGGGGGGCTCTAGTTTCCTGTTAACCATGGAGAGAGTTACAGAGTTACTTAAATGTCACTTAGCTAACTGTGAGGTTAGCACCGGGCGGTAGAGAAGTTCGCTGCTAGTAGTTAATCCCCCTCTCCCCACTAACCCCGTCTGGAAACCCTGCTCTGTCATTAGGTGAGTGCTCGTGTTAATAGCGTATATGCCCGCGCATACCACACACAGCCATCACTGTTTTCCCCTTTCTTACTACAAAAACCCCACTCACTTGTGGTTTGCGTTCCCTTGACGAATGTAAAGGGGAGTTGTTCAGCTGTGTACAACGATGCTGGTAACGTCACTCACTTCGCATCGGAGGTCGCAGTTGAATGGTTTGTTGCTGGTCACGATGTACTCCAGTGGTTCCTTCAAAAAATACACTTTTCTCTAGTTGTGTTCTCCAACGTCGAAAACTCGAGGCGTTCTTTTAAATCTCCTTAACTCATCCCCGCTTTCCGTGTGACTTTCAGCTGAACACAACCTCTCAGAAATGTTACGCCTCGGCCGTGCCTCTCTCCAAGATGGGTAAAGCGTCTGTCAAGGCGCTGATCTGGAAACGGTTAGTTTGTTTAAACACGAGATTAACCGGTTCGGTGTGTGACAGCGCAAACTGGTCTGAGATCCGCGCCGTGCAAGTCTATTGCCAAAGGCTTTTGTTTAAAGACACCCCCAACCCGTTCGTTAATTGGTCAGTATTCTATAAGGGCGTGCTTAGTATTTATTTTCTGTATTTCTTTGGCTGAAGGTACTGTCAATCAACAACCAACGCCTCCCTCGTAAACTCGCAGCTCAAGAGACAGGAGAGAACAATCCCCATTATTTCTGAAAGAATTATGCAGCTTATTCTTTCAAAAATAGTGTCTATAGATACATCAATATTAATCTGAAGCTGCAAGTCGCAAACAAAGAATGTGTGGATTCGGAGTAGCTATTTAATTCTGAAAGATCTCTTTGTAATTCCATTATGAATAATGGCAATCGATTGTCAACCTCAATCAGTGACAATTGAGATGATTGATCAATTGTATACCAGAAATTACCTAATTATAGACATATATTATAATTGCTCTTGCACATGTGTTGGAGTAACTATCAATCTTTCACTTTGCATATGGAGTGAGTTAGATTTCTTATTCATTGTATATATATATATATATATTATATATATATATATATATTATTGTACATATTATACGTATTGTATATTATAATGTTTTAATGTTTAGTCCGTTTCTACTTCCTGGTCCCGAGATAAACAATAATATTTTATCCAGCTGTACTTTTTAGAATCTGAATAAGGTGAACATGGCCATATTTTGTATCATTATTTATTATATATTGTATATTTATTGTATATTATTTAAGATCAGCTATTGTTCAGGGGTCCGTTTCAAGAAGCGTGTTTAGTGGAAACTCTGAGTTTGTTAACCCTGAGCTGTGGGAAACTCTGGCTTGTCTGTTTCACAAAGGAAGGTAACTAAAGCTCAGGGTCAGTCACCAGGGTAACTGAGCCTGTGAACATAACCTGGTCAGGAGCTGGTTTTCTTCTATAAACCTCAGGTTTCTTTCACAGTCTCCTCCCTCTGACAGCAGCCCAGCCAATCACACAGCGCGCTTGTTTCTTATTCATTCACCTACTCTGTATCAGGCGTGTTTTAGCGCAGTTTCCACATATGAACAAAATAAGATTTCTGTTACGTTAACGTGTTTTCTAGAACATGGCACGTCCTATTCTGGACGATCCTGTTGATGAAGAAGCGGTTTTACTTCGCAGGCTGTTAAACATACGTCGGGAGAGAATATTGAGGCCCCGATTAGTTATATTGTCATTTCCAGATAACTACTATCGTTTTTCTTCACAGTCCATCAAATATGTACATGACCTTACCCGTCCTCATATAACTAACGTCACTCATGGTGGACATGCTCTTACATACGAGCAGATTCTTTGTGTAGTGTATTACTTTTTTTGCAAACGGCATTTTCCTTTACAACCTTAGAATATTAGTAAAGCTGCTGTGTGCAGAGCCGTGAGAAAGGTGTGCCTCGCTCTGAAACGTCTTTTAAACATTTTTGTTCCCTGGACACAAACCAGTGAAGCCATTAAAAAGCAGTTCCACAGGATGCACCTGATTAAAAATACCATTGTACCAGTTTTTACCAGCGATATTGTTATTGTGATTAAATATGAGCATTGGTGTGTTTCAAGCCTGTGTGTAGTGCATTCTAACAGAGTGTAAAAAGATGTTTCACACTGGAAATTAGTAAAACGTATGGATTATGATTAGTGTGTACATTAAATATTAACTGACAACACTATTGGAACTTACAGTAATTTTCTCCCACGCAGTTTTTTACTGCAGTAGCGGCGTAATATTTCCAGATCAATAGGGGTGAATATATTGTTTTGTGGTTGTTACCATGGTAAATCGTAGTATCGTGGCTCCATACAACTCTAAACAGCTGTTCTGAAACCGAAAACTATTGAAACTGATTATTTCTTGGGTGTTGTTGTTGCGTTAACATTAGAGATATGTTGTTTGATAGCTCCCCCTACAGGTGATCTTAATACCCAACGCAAAAAGTTGTCAAATACCGAAAAATAAACACTTTGAGGTTGGAGTTTATCTTACTTCTACAACTACAAAAACTGTTGGCTTTTGTTGTTGTTTTTGTTGTTGTGATTAATGTGTTGTGATTGATGTCAGTTCAATGTAGCTTCAGTCACGGTCAAGTGGGTTTGATCCCACTAGGGCTCCTGAGAGACTACTCACCTGATGTTGTTGACATTTACCTCCACCATTCCTCTGCATCCTTTTAATTTTTGCACCACATGTAATGTATGTTATAGCTATAGCTCATATTTGGTTAATACTTATATATAAGTTAAGCCCAGTGGCAGGGGAGCAAAGCATGTCACCTCACAATGTAGAGATATGTCGAGTACATGACCATAAAACACTTGGAATTGATTATGAAACTGATCTTGAGAAATCTAAAATGATCAACTTGGTTTTAATTAGAGGCAGCAAACAAAGAAGTGCACATCTTAAGACAGACATCATCTCATGTTATTGTAAGATCGAGAAACATTTTGATTGTCCATCTGTGTGTGTGCGTGTGTGTGCGTGTGTGTGTGCGTGTGTGTGTGCGTGTGTGTGTGTGTGTGTGTGTGTGTGTGTGTGTGAACCAGTACGAGAAATGCGCCAACAATAGCAATACGCCCTATGTGTCCCCACATTAAAGTGTGTTGTGTGCCAAAAACGCTGAACCGCAGCTTCTTTTGTCCTCAGCCTGGGATGTGATGTGGCGCATATTGTCTGGGAACAATGGAGCCCAGCAGTCCTCTTCTGACAGATACTCACTCTGGATCAACAATACAACCTGGTCAGAGCCACAAAATGTGAAGAGACTGTTGTGCATGCACATGCACTGTTTTATTACAAAGGTCTAATTGTTGACATGCACATGTCCATATACTGACCATAAGACTTTTTCCTGAGTGACTATTTTTGCCACTCTGTAATGATTATGATGCTTGAAGTCTTTTATGTGACATTACATTAACTGTCGTGTATGGGATATATCTCTTTATAGTATTATTTACATTAAGTGGCATGTGCAAAACTTTTCTTGCAGACAGTGAATACAAAAATGATAATACAAACATTGAACAATTGCTCTTATTTATCATTTACGCAACAAGGGAAATTGTTTCATTAAAAACGTGAAATAATTTTTGAGGGAGAAACTAGAAATAGTGAATTTGAATTAAATGAAGCGATGTAATATTCGATGCTCGCGATGTCACATTATAACCGCTAGATGTCAGGAGAGAACCAGTCAGTGCTTTCTGTAAGCCTTTAATGGCTTTTACAACTTTAGATGTATTGCTGTTCACGGAAAAAAATGACTCCGTAGGATAGACAATTTCAATTCAGCCAAGAAAATGGCAAAAATTCCTGACTTCACAGGTTTTTGAGACCGCTCCACTACAGCTGGTGTGTGTCCCGGATGTTGCCATCGGAAGGGGGAGGTGGAGATTGGGGGTTGCAGTCAGGTTGCCAAGTCTGTACAATACCCACATTTGTCCATCTATATGGTGACTATTTCCTAAATACTTGATTTCTTTGAATTAATATGAGAAATGTCCCGATTAAAATCTGATGCTGATACCATGGGATTTTGATATTCCGTCCTTTCAATGTTTTACGGTGTTTATAGCAGCCGTGCTACGATTATATCAAATGTAATAGTTATAGCTGAATAAAATCTAAACGCATTTCACGTTGATAACACGACATAATATTGTCACCAGACACTTTTGTTACGTACAGTTGACTTATAAAGGCTTTTCATTACTGGTGAGTGTCTAGTATGTGGCAACCCAACGCGCAGCTCCACTGCTACGTCTCTGTGGGCAGATAGATACGGCTGTGGGTCTGAGTGAGAGATGGACTGAGTGAGGGCGCTCTTTCGTCCAGTGCTGCCAATAGCATTGAAATACCCACAAGCTAAGTTGAAATAATTGACGGTTTTAGGTCGCTAAATCAACGAGATAAATAGACTACCGTCATCAATCTTTTACATCCCACTCCAAACACACTTAACACGGCATTGATGGTAATGTATGCAAGGAAACAACCGAGACTCGGCGATGGGTAAACATGTTTTTGACGTTACTTATTCAGATTTTCCTTTTCCTCCTGGCTACGCTTTAACAATCCGCCATTTTTTACTGTAACCAAAATAAGTGGCTTGAAACTTGCTCGTTCAGCTGTTGCACCGCTTTCAGCAGTTTCTCAACACTGACATTGAAGCTTTATATTCACAACGGTTTTTTCTTTACATTTGCAGGTGCGACCGAAGAGATTCTCAACCCTATCAGGTACTTGTTAGCGAACTGTAGCCTGCTAGCTTGCTAGCACCAAATAAGATTAAGATGGACACTCTAGCTCAGGCTTCTGTGAAGCACAACGGGCCCCCCGTCAGTGCGGAAAAATAACGCGAAAAGTAAATGGTTTTGTTTGAAAATCCCGTTTGAAGGCTGTAAAGAGTCGCCAGCGGGAATACTGTAGGCTAAACTAATCGGCTTGAAAGTATTCTTCTAGTTTCGCTGTTTGGAAAAGGTAGAACCGAGTAGCTCAAGCTAATGATAGCCGGTAACTATTAGCTTGCCTGTTAGCCAGTCCGATTAGGGCCCGACCGCAATCTGTCATTTTAAGGATATAGTTAGCTGGCTAGCTAGCTAGCTGTGGGAACCTCAAAGGGCTCCATATGTATTTCTACAGAACAACGTAAAGTTTTAAACTATGGAAATTTGAAACATTTCTGTTAAGCAGCAGCTGAGACAAACGGTTGTCGGACAAAATGTTTGATTTGCATAGTTATTATCAGTTGTTATTATGAATCCGGATCAGGATACAAATGTAAATTTTTACCAAGTGAAGAGCGACTACAGCCACAGTAGTAGAGCTAATATTGCTGCATATTTAGTCGGGGATAAATCTGCTGCTTTTGAATCACAATGAACTGTTCAAATGAACACCAAACATAATACAACTTTTGCCATGCGTTTTTCTCACGTTGAGAAACCCAACATGGTGTGTAACAAGAAAGGTGTCCCTGTATTGACGGACCTTTTGATGGTGATGAAATCCTTGTACACTAGATTGTAGTGAGGTGTTTGATTTGTGTCTACAGGCGCTCAAATACTCGTCCAAGAGCCATCCGGGAGGGGACCGCCGGCATGAAAAGATGCGAGACTCCACCGATGTCACTCCTCCCTGCAAGGTGCTCCGGAGGTCTGACAGCCCTGAAAACAAACACACCGACAGCACAAGCCACAGCAGAGCGAAGGCTGTCCATACACACCGGGCCAGAGACAGGGACGGAGGTGAGACACGGTGGTCACGGACGCCGAAATGGGTCCAGGTCGCAAACAAATGCCTTGCTCATACGGCTGTGATCCATATCCCGCTGCAGCTTTGTTTGTTTCTTCAGACATCGGTGCAGCCCGTCTGGAACTTGTTTATGTTTTTTAAGTAGTAGGTATTCCAGCTGTGGTCATTTGGGACCGATCGAGAATAAAGTTGAGGCACCGGTGAACTTCTAGAGTAACCAAACAAATTAATGTTGTGATTTTTGCAACCTAAACCATTTCAACACCCGTTATTTTGGTAAATCTTAACCGTGCACACTGGTCAAGCACCCACGTTTTGATGGAAATACCTTTTGCAAAGAGGTTTTCAATTTGAATTTGTTTTAAAGTTGACTAATTTCATGGACACTGTCAGAAGTACTTATCTCAAGGTTTGGGTGGATTGGGTGATGAAAAGAAGGGGGCTATATTCGACATCTTATTGCATAGTTTGTCACTGTTATTTTTTCCAACCAAGCTAACCTAAAAAATAGGGAGGCAGAGCAGTCCTCAACATCTTGATATCTGATTAGTTGTGAGACGAGCGGTGGAACTTGTGCTTGTGAAGGGTAGTTGAGTTCCCCAATTTTTTTTGCAGCTTCCTTAAAAAAAAAAAGAAAAGAAAAAAAAAGAACTGTAGATGAAGAGTTGAAAACATGACCGTGTGGAATGCAAGTAGAGCCGCAGGAATTTGTGCACAGACTTTACGTGACAGTTTTGTGATTTAGTTTGACACATTAGAGTCTCGAGGCTTAGGATACTGTCATCGGCTAAAGGCTGGCGCATGCTTCTGCGTTGCGTCAACGCATTCGTTTCAATTCATGGTTCTAAAAGTCTTGCGTGTGTTGCAGAGCAATTCACCTCCAGAACAACAGGCAGAGTAACGTGTTTTTGTCGAAGACGAACTAGAGAGTCGCGTCTCTGTGTGTGGAAGTCGTTGGTTTGTTTATTTATTTATCATAGACTTTTTTGCCCCGTGCATCGCCGCTGCTTATTATCAAGGACACACTTGTCCCGTATTTTCCTCCACAACTTTGTGCACCTCTCTACCGGCAAACCGACGTTTGGGGCGATCTCCCTCCATGAATCCAACCCGCTTATTCAACCCGCCAATGACTGCTTGTATAAGCGGTCATATTTGCGCATTTCTTCCGACAAAGTTCTTCAATGTGATCCGTTCTCTCGTAAATATTCTTCGTTTTAATAATGCCGGTCTATGAAAGCGGAAATGTGAGACTCCGTAGAGGATGTAGTTAGCGGACCAATCGCAGGCTTGTGCGCTGCGGGAGGCTTGCGTTGCAAGCCTAGAAAAATGGGTCGACGCATGCAAGGACGCAAGGAGGTGTGAAAAGGCACGCAAGGGACACACAAGGGGGTCTTGCGTCTGCGTTGCTCTGAAAATGCAGAAGCATAAACTAGGCTTAAGAAACAATACCGAAGTGAGAGATTCAATTTATTCATTCGTCTTTTGCTGTTAATATGGGCAGCCAACAGACGTTTACCTTCCCACATCCAACTTGGTTTCTGATACCTGCACAACATGCCGTTCCATTATGGATCAGGCCGTCCTTATGCAGACTATTATTGATCAATTTAAGTTAGGATTGTAACGGGTCGACCTGTGGTCTTGAATTGATTTTTTTTTTCCTCCATGTGATGAACATAACTAATTAACAGCTCTTGAAAGAAAAAATGGGAATATGGGTGTCAACAATGTTATTACAATTTTATTGGCCAACTAACTTTTCAGGTTTTATGTATTACATGAAATAAAAATATTTTACTTCAAAGTTTAGTTACTGTACAGACAAGTCAGCGATTCAGTTCAGCATTCACATTCTAATGGAACTGTGTAGAGATGAAGCTTTAAAAAAGTACTGGGTATTAGATAAAAAACTTATATGCACTGGGCTATGTTACGCAAAAGGTGCCGCTTATAGTATAACACAATTGTGAAGTTCCCCTCTGGTATATGTTGGCATCTTCCAGAGTTCATTGTCTTTGTTTTCTGGCCTTCAAGGGTCGACGTGGCGCAGGGGTAGAGAGGGTGCGCCTGCATTGGCGGTTCGAGCCCCGGCTGCTCCATGTCCCAAGTCAAAATTTCCCTGAGCAAGACACCTAACCCCTAATTGCTTTTCCCCGGGCAAAAATGTATTAAAAATGCAATTTTAGTCGCTTTGGATAAAAGCGTCAGCCAAATGATCTGTAATGTGAAGAGAATGGTTATGGTTGAGTCCCCCTGTTTCCAGCTGCAGCAGACAGCTGTTCTGATAAAGCTGCTGTACACAAAGCGCTGTACCCATCACCAAACAACAGACCGATCTTTGGTAGCTAGCTGGTGGACACGTAGGGGATCATCTAGCAGCATTCCTTACAAACAATGCTCAATGTGTTCTGGCTCAATTGCTTTGCCATACCTCCTAAGAAGGGTCAAATGTGCTGTGTGTGCTGTTGAACTTACTGAGTTCTGCCATATTGGACCTTGCAACGACTCTGCTGATCAACTCATGCCATCCAATGTGGCTCATTTGCTCTTCAGGTTGCAGCTACAGGCTCTGAACATAATTGTCTGTCACTCCAAATCAAATCTCACTTGCAAGGTGATGACAAACCATTCTGCATTTCAGTTTGGATTTGATTTGAATCCAGTCTAATGTTGAATCCCAGCTGTGGTTATTACAAGGACGGAGCCAAGTGAGAGCCTTGATCCAAATTCATACATAGTGAACCCTCAAGGCTGGCGCATGCTTCTGTGTCTTTACGCGCTGTTGTGCCGACGCACTCGTCTCAATTCATAGTTCTAAAAGTCCTGCCTGCGTGTGTTGCAGAGCAATTCACCGCCAGAACAATAGGTGGTGTAACGTGTTTTTGTCGAAGACAACCTAGAGAGTGACGTCTTTTGTGTGTGGAAGTCGTTGGTTGGTTTATTTATTTATCATAGACTTTATTGCCCCGTGCATCGCCACTGCTGCTTTTCATCGCGGACACATTTGTCCCGTATCATCCTCCACAACTTTGTGCACCTCTCGACCGGCAAACCGGCGTTTGCTGCAATCCCCCGTCCGTGAATCGGAGGCCATCCACGCGTCCTTACAGTCTGCCAATGACGGATTGTATAAGTGGTAATATTTCCGCATTTCTTCCGACAAAAGCTCTTCAATCTGATCTGTTCTCTCGTAAATATTCTTTGTTTTAGTAATGGCACTATTGTGCTATGAAAACGGAAATGTGAGACTCCGTAAAGGATGTAGTTAGCAGACCAATCGCAGCCTTGTGCGCTGCAGGAAAATGGGTCAACGTACGCAAAGGAGGTGTGAAAAGGCATGCAAGGGACACGCAAGGGGCTCTTGCGTCTGCGTTTCCTTGCGTCACTCTGAAAACACAGAAGGATAAACTAGGCTTCAGCGTGCACAATCGGAGCTCTTTAGACGAGATACACTGATAAGGGAACAAATAACGTGCACTTTGGCCATTTTGTAATGCTTGTATAAAGGTAACAAATTAGTCCATGAAAATGAGCGAAGACTCCCAGCTGGTCACTAGTCCTTCTCGTCATAGTGAAGGTAAAAAAAGAATCCTTAACGGTGCTATGTTGACCTTGTGTCTCATCAGAAACTTTAATGCTCCTGTGCTGAGAATGGAAGACGTCCCTACGGTGAATCTGCAAGTTCCTCTGATAAGTGAGAAGCTCACTGTCCCCAACAGCCTCACATGGCCCCACCAGACATGCATCAGAGATGGTAGTAGTTGTCAAGTCAGCTATTTGTCATGTGCCAAATCAGTAAATCAAATAAGAAAGTTTGACGTGTATCTGCTCGTGACTTGGGACAGCGCTGTCTTCTGATGAGCTGACGTACATCAAGCGGCTGCTGGTGTGTGGGTTTACATGGAAAACAGCGCACGTCATGCATTGCCAACGCGCTCTGCCCTTTAGAGCTCTGCTTCCTGTTATCAACTCGTGTGTGTGGGGGAGGGAGGGGTGTAAGGAATGAGTCAAAAGCTGTTGGGACAGCTGATCCATGTTCTGTAATGTCAGCTACAGCTGAGAGTTCTGTAGAGGTTGTTGGCGTAAGGATTTGTAATGTGTAGTCTTTCACGAACCATCTCTTTGGGACTGTCACAATAACTACTTTTTGTTGTGTGATATATTGCATCAAAATGAAGTGTGATAAACGATATTGTAATTTTCAGACCGCTGATTACATTATGACAATATAATAGCATAATAATGCATAAGAACGTTTTATTCTTCAGAATATTTAGACCATATCGGAATTTGAAAAACAAAATACTAAATTAATAAATATGATAATTATAAATACACCTTTTGTTAACAAAATAGTGCAAGGGACACTGAGCGGGGCGAAGCATAAGGGTTGATCCTGTAGGGTTCAACAAAATGTGTTCACCGAAAAGGCTTGCCGCGCCAGTAGGGGATGTTGGCCTGGGAGGCTTCAACCGCCGGTAGAGCGACTCACTCCGTGGCACAAAAAAGGGAGCAAATATAACCTCAAGAGAGCCATGATCACAGACCCAGCGATACTGATTGCGGATTATGGATAAATTGTATTGTTGTTTGAGTATAGCAGCTGGGTTTTTTTTGGGCACGTGTGTTTGTGTGTGCACATCAGTGTATGCTGATTACCTGAATTACTCATGTTCCTCGAGCCGGGGTAACTAATGAATCACTAAGGACGTCCAATAGTGACCTAGACCTATTGCTAGATCTGGATCATTTATTTGAAGAGTAAGTTAAATATGTTCACAATAATATTGTGGCAGGTTTTCATTTGTAGCTTTTAAGGACAAAGTACACCAGCAGTCTACTCGTATCTGCTGTTGAAATTGAAAACTAACAAATTGTAGCACTTAAGTGGCGTTACAAGTACAATATATCTATAGCAAATTGTAAATTGGCTTATTTGATGAAATTGTACTTTCTTGTTTCTTGCTCTTGTTTGTTGTTTAAGTTTGTATCCCTATGGTTGAATGCACTTATTGTAAGTCGCTTTGGATAAAAGCGCCAGCTAAATGACATGTAATGTCTAACGAATATTCTATATTCGAATATACAGGTGAAACTCCAAAAATTAGAATATCTTGCAAAAGTTCATTTATTTCAGTAATTCAACTTAAAATGTGAAACTTATAGACTCATTACAAATCGCCGTCTCGCGCGAGATATTTGCTCCCTCGCGAAACGTGAACTTCCTCGCTCGCGAGGTTAGTCTCTGCTCGGGCTCGAAGGTGTTTTCTACGCGCTCGCTGTTTTTCTTTTTGACAGTAAGGGGGCGGAGCCAGTCACCATGGTCTCTACACCTGATTGGTTACAAACCCCGTCTTTGGATTGGCTGGAGTACTCGCGCATCAACCTGATTTACGCTCTCGAATTTTGACAGTGATTTGCCGCCATATCAAAGTGTAACACTCTAATCAGCTAATTAATCCAAAACACTTGCAAAGGGTTCCCGAGCCTTTAAATGGTCTCTCAGTCTGGTTCAGTTGAATTCACAATCATGGGAAAGACTGCTGACCTGACAGTTGTGCAGAAAACCATCATTGACACCCTCCACAAGGAGGGAAAGCCTCAAAAGGTAATTGCGAAAGAAGTTGGGTGTTCTCAAAGTGCCGTATCAAAGCACATTAATAGAAAGTTAAGTGGAAGGGAAAAGTGTGGAAGAAAAAGGTGCACAAGCAGCAGGGATGACCGTAGCCTGGAGAGGATTGTCAGGAAAAGGCCATTCAAATGTGTGTGTGGGGAGCATCACAAGGAGTGAACTGAGGCTGGAGTTGCATCAAGAGCCACCACACACAGACGGGTCCTGGACATGGGCTTCAAATGTCGTATTCCTCTTGAACTGGTCTGTTGCTCAGTGGTCCAAAGTCCTCTTTTCTGATGAGAGCAAATGTTGCATCTCATTTGGAAACCAAGGTCCCAGAGTCTGGAGGAAGAATGGAGAGGCACACAATCCAAGATGCCTGAAGTCCAGTGTGAAGTTTCCAGTTCCGTGTTGGTTTTGGGGAGCCATTTCATCGGCTGGTGTTGGTCCACTGTGCTTTATTAAGTCCAGAGTCAACGCAGCCGTCTACCAGGACATTTTAGAGCACTTCATGCTTCCTTCAGCAGACAAGCTTTATGGAGATGCTGACTTCATTTTCCAGCAGGACTTGGCACCTGCCCACACTGCCAAAAGTACCAAAACCTGGTTCAATGACCATGGTATTACTGTGCTTGATTGGCCAGCAAACTCGCCTGACCTGAACCGAGAGTTGCCAAGAGAAAGATGAGAGACATGAGACCAAACGATGCAGAAGAGCTGAAGGCCGCTATTGAAGCATCTTGGTCTTCCATTACACCTCCGCAGTGCCACAGGCTGATGGCATCCATGCCACGCCGCATTGGGGCAGTAATTAATGCAAAAGGGGCCCAAACCAAGTACTGAGTACATATGCATGATTATACTTTTCAGAGGGCTGACATTTCTGTATTTAAAATCTTTTTTTATTGATTTTATGTAATATTCCAATTTTCTGAGATTTTGAATTTGGGGTTTTCATAAGCTATAAGCCATAATCATCAAAATGATATTAAATAAAGGCTTGAAATATCTCACTTTGCATGTAATGAGTCTATATAATATATTAGTTTCACCTTTTTAAGTTGAATTACTGAAATAAATGAACTTTTGCACGATATTCTAATTTTTCGAGTTTCACCTGTACATTCGAATAGTTGTTTTTAACAATTAATTGAAAATTAATCTTGGAATGTAAAAAAAAAAAAAAACCCACAACAGTGGTGCGCCCGTATTGACTATATTCCATGAATAAAATAGACATTCAAACGTCATTTTTGAGTAATTTTGACAGCCTTAACGTAGAGGCACTTCTTTCTCCCAGATGTAGACGTTGTTTTTTTTTATGCTGCTTGTTGATCCACGGTGACCTCATTAATTCAGGCTGCAGATTGTCTCAGGAAAAGCAGAGTCATTTAATTACCTCTCATTGCATGGACCAGAGGTCACTAAGTGGCGGACAGCGTTCCGGATCCGGACCCAGAAGCCGTCCTATCCGGACCCAGACCAAAAGCTAAAAAAAGATGGTTGTGATTAAACGTGACAGTGCACTTTTCCTTCGCTTAAAGCATACACCAATTGCATTCGAGTTAAACCATCCCACGTGATCCCACTCGACCAATCGAGGAGGGGAACGGCCCTGACGGCATTTAGACCAGGTTTAAAATTCTGGCAGGAAAAACTAATTCTTCCACTTACCAAAAAAGTGGGAGAGTGGATATATATTCTATTAAACTGTTGAAATTAGTTTTAGATTTATTATTTATAATTTGCTGAGACTGTCAAGTCCAAATGGGAAGCAGAAAAGGGAAAATTCAAGATTTTTTCTCCCATTATTTAATTTTTTTCTTTTGAACTGAAGCACTTCATTTGAACATTCACATTTTATTTTTTTTAAATGCAGCCGTACTTTGAATTAGTTAATTGCGTGAACATTATTTATATTTGCAGTCACACATATATGTTCAGTTCTTTGTTACGTGACAATATTGTCAAGAGTTTTAGAATCGTACTGGATTCATTTGATTTGTTAGTCATCTATTGATTTATTGCGTCTAATAATGGTCGCGCAGAGCTGAAAAGATGGGCTGAGTGAAATCCCTCGTTTTCCCTCAGATTTCTGCTTGTGTAAAATATATCTTGATTCACGTTACATTGCAGAAAAAAATGCTGCACAAATGCGCTTTTGTTGCCTTCCCAAAAATGATGCAGATGGATGACGTTGGTTGATGACATGTTTCTCTTCCCTTATTTTTTGAGTTATTCCTCAGGCCTTATCTGCATTTTGTTAACGCCTTCGAAGTGAAGGACAATCTGACATTGATTGCAATCAGCACTTTTTCTAGATGTGTCTACCGCTACACATTCTAGATGTGTCTACCGCTACACATTCTAGATGTGTCTACCGCTACACATTCTAGATGTGTCTACCGCTACACATTCGTAGCGGTAGACTGAAATCAAACACAGCTGTTACTCTAAAACAACACATCTCCTAAAAAGCAACAGATCAAAATAGGAAACGCAATGGAAAAGCATTTCTTATGCTCTAAAAAATGGAAAAAAAAGTTTTTTTGCGGCGAGTGATTTTATGTTATATATAATGGTGCTATATTTCAACGTTCCAGCCATTTCTGGATCAATGTATCAGCCAGGGTATTGTTGTTCTCGTTTACTAATAGTGTCCCTCCCTTTTCTTGTGTTTTTGTTGCAGGGACCAGTTATTCTCCACAAGAAAATTCTCACAACCACAGTTCCCTTCATAGCTCTAACTTGCATTCTAACCCCGGCAAGACCTCAGACACAGTAAGTGTTGCCTCTACCTCAGCTGATGAGAAGATCATTTCAGTCGCTTGTTCTTTGTAACTGCTGTCCTGTAGTTTGACGATTTGGTGGTAGGTGGTGTTGTGTAATCTCGCTATAAAGGTGGAAGTTATTAACGCAATACTACTTGGATGAAAATAATGATATCTTGGAGTATAGTGTTTTATATTGTCCAAAGAAAACTGGAAACGGGGATTGAGAAAAAACATTTAATGGCTGATGGGCCAGTCTAAGAATGGTTATAGCACTCCATGAAAAAAAACCGTAAAGGGAAGGAGTTGACAGGCCCCCGGAGGAAGCTCGGACCTCCATCTAGAGCCAGGCCCAGATCGAGGGCTAAGCGGCGAGCTTCTGGTGGACAGGCCTGCTGCAGGGCACAGCCCGAAGGAGTGATGTGGCACCCGCCTAATCTCCCTCCAATAGGCTCGCCACCAGAGCTTGTGCGGGATGTGGAGCGCCAAGTTAGATCTCGTGGGGCTTACCTCTACCCACAGCTTTGGCTGTGGAATCGTACTCCTGGATAGACTCATAGGATGGACTCGATCCTACTCAAAACAGCAAAGATCGATTGATCGATCTTGGTTTTTGTGGTCGTATCGTCTGATCAGAGGTCGCATGATTTGGAAGCTCTGGTATGGAGAGGGGCCGAGGTGTCAACTCACCATTTGGTGGTGAGTTGGATCAGAGGATGAGGAAAGACTTAAGGATAGACCTGGTAAACCCAAACGTGTCATGCAGGGGAACGTCTGGTGGAGGCCCCAGTTAGGGCTTTTTGTTGTTACTCTAAATATATTTGAATTTTCAATTCATTTTATTTTGTATAGCCCAAAATCGCAAATTACAAATTTGCCTCAGAGGGCTTTATAGTCTGTACACATACAACATCCTCTGTCCCGAAACCCATACATCGGGACAGGAAAAACTCCCCAAAAAATTAAAAAAAAACTTCCAAAAGGGAAAAAACCTTAGGGAGAACGTCAGAGGAGGGATCCCACTGGATGGACAGACTACAATGGATGCCATGTGTACAGAATGAACAATATATAAGACATTCAATTCCTATGACAGAAATTATTCAAGTAATTGTGAGTAGTAAGCCAGCACAGCAGGACCACTGCAGGGACAACCACCATCAGATAGAACCACCATCCACAGAAGCCTGTGGGGAGGTAGAGCAAGACTTTAGGAGAGGGTAATGTTGGTTTATGAGTACAGTAATATGATTAATATTTATAATAATAATGATGATGATGGCAGCAGCAGGTGTCAGCAGGGCCACGGCAGGTGTCAAGACCAGGGTCCAGAAGGAACTACGATCTACGGAGACCTGCTAGGGGAGAAAGCACAAAAAAACTCCCGGAAAGAAGCTGAATTAATCATGTGCATTAATAAAACGTGAATTATTGTAGAGCAAGAGTGTGAGAGAGGAGCTCGGTGTGTCCTAAGAAGTCCCCCGGCAGTCTAAGCCTATAGCAGCTTAACTAAGGGCTGGTCCGGGCTAACCTGAGCCAGCCCTAACTATAAGCAAAATCAAAGAGGAAAGTTTTAAGCTTTATCTTAAAAGAGCTGACCGAATCTGCCCCTCGTACTGAAAGTGGAAGCTGGTTCCACAAAAGAGGAGCTTGATGACTGAAGGCTCTGGCTCCCATCCTACTTTTTAAAACCCTAGGAACAAGTAACCCAGCATCTATGGAGCGCAGCTGCCTTGTAGGGCAATACGATGTTACAAGCTCTTGAAGAGATGTTACAAGCTCTCTTCAAGAGCTTGTAACACCGTCAGACCATTTTATGATTACATAATGACAATACAATAGCATAATGATGCAAGTACGCTCTTTCAAAGAACGTTTCATTCTTCAGAATATTTAAATATTGGAAACTGAATCTGAAAAAATATATACACCTTTTTGATAGCATGCAAAGCATCGGGGTTGCTGCGATGTGGTAGGGTTCGAGAAAATGTGTTCACCAGAAAGGCGCTCCATGGCAGGGCTGCTGGGGGAGTTGTCTCGCTAGGGATAGCGTCTCGCTACCAATCGGTCTCACCTAAAACAACAACCATCCCAGTATTTCAACCTGAACTACTGTCATTCGCCTCTTTGGCCAGGAAGAACGCAGGGTGCCGTCCCCGGACCTCTGACCTGCATTCCTCCCGGGCCGGCCGAGTGTTAGCGTGGCCGCTCCGTCTCTCCCAGCAGCCACGGAGCGCGTCGCCCTGCCGGCGGTTGAAGCCCCCGGGTTAAACCTCCCCGGCTGCCGCGCTTTCCCGCTGCACACATTTTTGCAAACCTACCGCATCAAGCCCGATGCTTCTCCTGCTCCGTCTTCCTTGCACTTATTTTTGTTTTATTCACTTAGGAATTTTTTTTTTCGCATTTCTATTTTAATGTCTAACTATTCTGACAAATAAAACATTCTTTCTCCTTTGAAAGAGCGTACTTGTATTACAATGCTATTTTATTGCCATTATGTTAACAGTGGCAAAAAATGTTTTGCAATAATATCGCAATAAATGCTTGTGCAATAATCTCACAACAGAGATTTGATATTGTGACAGTCCTAGCGCCAATTCATTTTATTTTATATAGCCCGAAATCGCATATTACAAATTAGCCTTTACAATCTGCAGACATGCAACATCCTCTGTCCCAAAACAGCCACATTGGCACAGGAAAAATGAAGGAGAATGAAGCAACCTACCACGCCCTCTTTCGTTGTAGTAGAGCTGAGGCAGAACCATTTTATTAGGGTTCTTTATTGGCAAGCACAATACGATATTTATGTTGATACGATTTATTATGATATAATACACATTGCAGTATTCCATTTTTCCTTTGTGAAAATGTTAAATATAGTTGAGAATACAACGTGCTTGTATTAACATCAAGATAGTGGAGTATGTTCAACACATCAAAACTACTTCAAAATGTATTTGCATTGGACTTAGTGGCCCAGCAGAGAACACACTGAACTGAAATGCAACTGCCACAAAATACACACCTGTATTTTTGTCTTATTGTGTAACTGGAAGAATCGTGACATGTCCCTGTAGTGAGCCCTGGCACTGAGGATGGCACTGTGGATGGCTCCTTTACATTTCAGATTTCATTACAAGCTGTTGCATCACATCCCTGCAACGCGCTCAAACACACACACACACACGCGCACACACACAATTGTTTTTCTGGTCTGTCTGGCCTTGTGTTCCTAAATATTTTTGCTCCTCTTCTCAGCCTTATGAACCTGGGGATGACTGGTCGGAGCACATCAGCTCATCTGGAAAGAAATACTATTACAACTGCAGGACAGAGGTGTCCCAGTGGGAGAGGCCCAAAGAGTGGCTCGAGAGGTATCGCTTCACTCAAAGCACTCCATTGGAGAGGCTGCATGTATTCATTAATTAGCACCACGTGAAGGTTGTATACGTGGCTAATATCCGTTTGCATGCACTCTTGTGTCTCAGAGAGCAGCGGCAAAAAGAGGCGACAAAGACGGCGGTCGTTAACAGTTTTCCCAAAGACCGAGACTACAGAAGGGAGGCCATGCAAGCATCAACGGGCTTCACCGGCGCAAGTAAGTCTGTCACACCACACACTTTCCTCTTGGCCTCAGAGAATCCGTTTTTTGAGCTGAGGCGTCGCTGCTACTGGTTAGTACAGTATTTCTCAAACTGTGGGGTTTTTACCCTCTTGTGGGGCGCGGAGGTATTACAGGTGAGGGGCTGGGGAAAATGTAGATTTATTAAAAAAAAAAAAAAATTTAAATGGGAAAATTATTTTCTGTATTTTACCCCTCCTCCATAATTAAGGAGCAGTGTGCTGCTGTGAAGCACTGGGGCTTCAGTGTCTTGCTCAAGGACACTGAGACATGCAAACTATGGAGAGAACATGGATCGAACCGCACTGTAAAACATCACAGCCGTGTTCAGTTATGTCCACTTTACTTGCTCTGACAAGTTTTAGATATGAACGTAACTGAGTTACGTTAAAACATACAGTAATGCTTTGTGTAGACTGAAAAGGGCTGGAGTGGGGGTTTAAAAAAAACTCATGTTTGTGTTTTAGGTAAACCTTTTTTTTTTTTTTAAACCATGGTCAGGTTGAAGCCTGACCAAATATAGGCATTTTTTGGTAAACAAGAAAAGACCATTACCACCGTCGGAGGGATACTATTAACCTGTCAACCTCAAGTGAATCAAGGCGGAGCAATTCACCCTTACTTTCCACCTGCAATAGAGCTGAGTGAACAGAGGATTATTTCCTCTTTGCTTCAGTACATGAAAGTAACTTCAATTTTCTTTTTTCTATTATTAATAAAAGCACACGTGTAGTCACAAAATGTTGTTATTTCAATAAAAATTCAGCATGGACCATTTTTGTTGGGGCGGTGGGGCCCGAACATTTTTCTTCCTCCAACGTGGGGCCCGACAGAAAAAGTTTGAGAACTACTGGGTTAGTCTTTTCAGTGGATGTATGGCTGAACACTTTTGAACTGCTTACCAAAAGACTGAGACTAAGAATGGCTAAGCGTCGCATTCTGACGTGGCTGCCTGGCAGCGTACCAAAAACCAGTTGGTGTTTGTGTGAATAATGATTTTTTTTCTTAAATGAAGCAAGTGATTCTGAATATCTATCAATTTTGGCATTCCCCTTTTTTCCCCCCGGGTAGAAGAATCCTGACTGTCTGTGAGCACCAGAAACTGTGAGCCAATAGTAAAAAGTGTGAGTGTTGTCAGGGATGGTTGGATTTCTAAAGACCTATTTAATGAGGTTTCAATGCTAAGCCATAACTCGCATTAAGTCTCTCCAGGTTGTTGTGCAGAACTCTGGTTGCCATCATTCTTCATCGTCACCATTTCATCCATAATTGGCTTCTTTTTTAATTCATTGTTTTAGCCTAACAAGGCCAGACCAAGTGGCAAATGAGATTCAGTCTGGAATCTCATTTTCAAAGGGCGTTGTGACCCTGCGTAGACAAACATGCCATGGAACACAATTAAATAGAAATGCTACCAATAAGTGAAATGAATTGTGATACGACGCCTCTATCTTGCTGGGAATGCAAGCATCGACGGGCTTGCATCACATACCTTCGATACATTTACACGTCTTGAGTAGATGAGATCGTCGCGTTGTGCATTCTAGCCCCATAGCGGTCACCTGATATTACCCATTCCCCCAGGTGCAGCTGTCCTTCTAGAGCCGTTTTGTCTTGTTAGCACGGCAAACTGTTTATGCCTCGGTCAGGTTTTACCTGCTGTCAACACTTGGGAATGAATCTGTGCTTCTTGGTTGGAATGGCTGATGTGTTTCTGCAATATTATAGGAGTTCCTGCCCTGCGTAGTTGAGATTGTCAAGCTTTACATTTGAGCGCCACAGCACTCGATATTACCCATTTCCTAAGGTGCAACTGTCTTCTGGAGACGTTTTGAAGAATATACTCTAAGGCAGGGGTGTCATTTCACGTCTGGGCCAGATACTTCCCATATTGATCGAAAGCGGGCGAGACCATTCAAATCATAGCTGACGATCCGACTGGTGTACGGTACGACGGCCGATTGGGGGACGGGGCGGGGGGCATGCAAAACAAATCGATATTAAAAAAAGCAGAAGCGACCGCACATGTGTGTGTGTGGACCTTTCTGTAATTCTCACAATAGCATCATATTATGTGCTCTTAGGTAATTACTGGCTAAATTAGTTTTTTTACCAAACAGCAGCACTTCTATTAGGTTATTCCCAAGCTACTTGAGCTGCGATTTGAAATGAATAACCTGTTTCTGACTGTCTGTGGACCACTCCCAAAGCCACTTCCTTTCTAGTAGACCTGACATAATGTTTTTCATTAGTAAATGCTGTGGAACATAGAGAGGCGACATACGAGACATGTCTGGCACACACTGGATGGCAGCTCTACAGAAGATTAATTCAATACGTACCGTTAAAGAGATTCAAGCAAGTCCCTGGGTTCCTACGTGGTAAAAGAACTTGCTGAAGCTTACAGGAAGCTCCACCATGTTTGTTCACGTTGGCAGTAGGGTTGGGCAGTATGGCAAAAAATCCATATCTCTGTATTTAGAAAGATTCTGACGGTATTGCTTTTTCAAGTAAACACATTAAATCATTGACCCTGAAAAGGGTCTCGCTCTTCCGTGTTTTCATGTAGCAACAGAGTTACTTCTTGTTGTGAGCTTTACCCAGCATGCAGTAAATGTACAATTGTTAGTGTTACAAATTGTTTATGTGTCACAAGCTGTTGTGTCGTGGTGTTTTACCCTGTTAAAGAGTGTTTGTTGTTGGTTTTTCATTTTTGTTACAACCATGATTCAATCACAACACAAGTAAGACAAGTAGCTCTAGTAGTAGTAGTAGGGCTAGCGAGGGTGCGCAGGGAACCGCAAATTTGGTGGTTCGATTCCCGGCTGCCCCATATCTCATGTCGAAGTGTCCCTGAGCAAGACGCCTAACCCCTAATTGCACTGGGCAAAAATGTAAAAAGCCATGGGTTAGAAATGCAATGTAATGTAAGTCGCTTTGGATAAAAAGCGTCAGTTAAATTACCTGTAATGTAATAAAGTAAGATATGTAGCTCCGACCGCTGGGAGCTCCTCAATGACGTGTAAAAATAACCACCTCCATATTCAACTGAATCCCATGAATGAATTTCGATAAACAATATTATTGTAATTTTCGTCTCTGCCCCGCTACCAATCGGTCGGCCCGGGAGGAACGTAGCGGATGGGGACCTTGCCCTGCACATGTAGGCCATTGGGGCATGGCATAAAACGAAACCTGCAGGGTTGTTGACCCTGTGTTGGCGCCGCCCTTTGCTGTTGACCCAATTAAAACAAATAAGGAGGGTGTTATTTCATGCAGGTTCCAGACTGCCTGGCTGCAGCCTGAAGGCTTCTTTCACTGTCGCTGTGAGGTCAAGTTAGTCATCGGCCGTGCCAGCCCAAATTCAACCATATTACAAGCCAACTGTGCACAAGTGGAAACTTGTTTGGTCTGCTGGATTGCTCCCCTGTTGTCTTATGTGTGGTGAAAACACCATTTAAAAAAAAATTGATATCACAAGTAGTGGAACCCTTCTTGCCATCGGTGGGCGGCCGCCATGTATTCTCGGCCTCATGGCACATGATTGCGGCTGAATGGAAGCCCACATTGTTCCCGGGAGTTTGACGAATTTTCAATCAATTTGTTTTGACATGCGATTATTAGAGAAATTAGTAGGGGTGTAACGATTCATCCACTTAATCGATTTCTATTCCTGCGATCCAACTGAATCTATCTGTGGTCAGCAAATCGGCATTCCGGACGACCTATATCGATTACAAATCGATTGCAATGGTACATAATCGATTTGTATCGATACTTGGAAACTGCACATTGGATTTAAGTACAGAAACTGTATGGATGTTTGTTTGTTTGTTTTTTAGCACTTTAGACGCGTTAAACGTTACTCGATTCAGTCTGCCTGTCTGTGACGTCATCAGTACACAGCGCCGGCCGCACGAAACTCGGAACAACAACAAAACACAGCGTGGAGGAGACGACTGCGAGCAAGACATTTACAAACCAACTTATCGATCCAGCGCGTGGAAACATTTTGGCTTTTGCAAACACGGAGGTGTTCTAAATAAGTCGGCCGCTGTTTGTAGAATATGTAAAAGCCAAATAAAAAAACACGGAAACACGACGAATCTTTCCAGCCATCTACTAAGGCGCCGTGGGATTAAACAACACGCCGACAGTCCAGGACCTCTAGCAGCGCTGCAGCAGCAGAAGGTAACTCCAGCTCTGCAGACACCTCAGGCCTCGCCAGCACGAAACTCAGCATCACAGTAACAATTGCCAAGTTTATCTGTAAAGACATGCGACCCTACAATGTGGTTGAAAATCCGGGGTCCTGTGAATTGATCGAAACATTGTGTAATTATTGTGTAATGTTTACATTGAAAATTGCACTTGATTCAAATAAAAGGTTAATACATTTTCCATTAATTGTTGTTTGCTTGTTTATAATATCCATAATTAATTTAAACCTGATTCCTTACAAGAAACAACAGGGATCTCAGAAACTTTGCCTGGACTGTCCAGTAGTCACTGAATCGAATCGAATCGTTCTAAATTAACCCAGATCGTCCATGAATCGAATCGGCAACCATGAATCGCGATTCGAATCGACTCGTTGTTTGAATGAATCGTTACACCCCTAGAAATTAGTATTTAAAAGTTGAGTTTAGTGCTGAGCGTTGAGTGTGAGTTTGTGGGTGTGTGCGTATGAGTGTAGTGTAGAGCAGTGGTCCTCAAACTTTCTTCCCTCGCAGACCGCACGGCAAAAAAAAAAAACAACCTTGGATGAAGCTTGGAAAATGTGTCAAGGGAACAATTGCATGTAATTGGGAGAGATTCTGGAATTATTTTTGTTTTTCTGTGCGGCCCAGTAACAAGTGACCCGCAAACTGGTGGCAATGGTGTAGAGAACATGTTCATTCAAACAATCCTGTTGTTTGTATTTTTCTTTATTTTTTCTAAATGAAAATTTCTGATTTAGAAATCAGCTCAGGTCCCTTAAAACAAAAATAAAATACTTTTTGTTTTTGCACTTTAGAAAGATTAAAAAACCCTATTTGGCAGCTGTGTATTTTTTGTGTTAGTCCATTTTTTTATTTTCATTATTACAACCTGCACAACCAGCACTCCGAATTTGCAGTTCTGTTTTTGGAATAAAGGGATGGGAATTTTTTTCCCGATTCATTGATTGTAAAAGTAATCGTCAGATTAATCGATAATCTAAATAATTGTTAGTTGCAGCCCCAGAGACCCCCATGCTGATTAAAATGCATCCTCTTGGCAGAGTCCGCCCAGGCAGAGAAGCCCACAGCGACCGTCACCTCCCAGTCGTCGTCCGGCTCAGGGAGCATGAACCCGTCATCGGGTCTGCCGGGGTCGTCCTCCTCCACCACAGTGCCCATGTCCCCCGTCCTGCAGTCCCCGGGCCCTGCGCTCCTCCAGGATCCCACCCTGCTTCGACAGCTTCTCCCCGCGCTCCAGACTGCCCTGCAGCTGAACAACGCCAGTGTGGACATGGCGAAAATCAACGAAGGTAAGAGAAACCGGCGTCCGAGTGTTTAGAAAACAGACTCCCACGCCGCTGGGTTTTTATCACAGGAAAATAACTGTATACTGTCGAGCTAGAAATCTGAGCACAATGGGAGTAGTTGTTGTGGTGTACATCCTTTCCTGTGGGTGTGAGCACATTATTTTTCAGTCCATCCAACATCCTTAATGCAAAAGGCCCACTAGTCGGGGTACCCTTGAAAATAAGTAATTTGTACCACCACGTCAAGAGTGTGCAGATTTGCTGAAAAAGCTAGCCGTCAGACAGCGTTGAATTATGGAGAGAGAAACGTGTGCTTTGACTTTTCACTTACCACTTCACTTTGGGAAAATACCCAAACGATACCGATCCTTAGTGTTGACATGGGGGGAGGCGGGGCCTTATGCATCCCGCCTATCTAAGAATTGGTTACCAAGCTCGTCGGAGTGAACCTGCTCCACTATTAAAGCAAAGTTTTGTCTTGATGTGGCGTTATTACAGAACACGGGACATGATGTCAGTGCAGGGGGCGGGGATAACCATGCGTCTGTTCGGCCCTCTCTAGTTCTCACCGCTGCTGTCACACAAGCGTCACTACAGTCGATGCTCCATAAGATCCTCACCGCCGGACCGTCAGCTTTCAACATCACCACGATCCTCTCTCAAGCCGCTCAGCTCTCCAACCAAGGTAGGTGACCTTTGGTAACCCTTGTGCGTTTCCTGTGAGTTCAATACCCACGAGGAAGGACACCAGAAAACCCATGAGATGAAGGGCCATCTTATATTTTTACTGTTTGCCTCACGTTTTTTTTTTTTTGCTAGCTATAAATATGTCTCTGATTGTGCATCTTTTCGTATGTCCGTCCAGCAGCTCAGCAATCGAACCAGTCGCCCATGTCATTAACGTCGGACGCATCATCGCCCCGCTCTTATGTTTCACCAAGGATCAGCACGCCACAGACAAACACCGGCCCCCTTAAACCTCTCCTCAACGCGCAGCCCGTCATCTCGCAGACAAAAGTAAGACGCCAGATGAATGACTGGATAGAATATTCTCTATGTTCTGACTATCTACAAGCTTCTATCCGGATCCCGTGGAGTTGGGGGGGGTTGTCCAATAATCTGTCTAACTGGCTTTGTGTAGGTGTGCGCACAACCAGGGAAGCTGCCCTCTCATCCCCAGCCCTCACCCCATCAGTCCCACTCCAGTGACAAGCAGCACAGTCAGGATACTACCACAGCCTCCCCACGCACCCTCCAGCGCCAAGGGTACGCATGCAGGCGCGCACACACACACACACACACACACACACACACACACACACACACACACACACACACACACACACACACACACACACACACACACACACACAAAGAGCTGCTGGAGTCAGGTCTCATGATGAGTCACTGTAGTGTAATCTTCTATGTGTAGTGCTGTGGCACCATCTGCTGCTGTCTCCATGGAACAACAAGTCAATCATCTTAATTGATTGAATTCTTGTGTTTTAACAAATGCAAGTTGGACGCTAGATGAGTTTTTTTTATGTCTCGATATGACTCAAATATTCAATTACAAAAGGAAGCGCTCGATGTTACGGATATGTTTTTTAAAGTGAGTAGATTTGAGCAGTGATGAAGTGAGAATAGAAAGGAAGCATCCACTCAGTCCGGTGAGTCCATCAGTGTCTGTCACATCTGGAGAAAAAGGCTGTACAGATGTTCCACTCGTTGTGACCCAGCTAACACTTGGCTACCTGTGGCTATAAACAGACACCTGTATTTAGTCATCACAGCATTGGGGGAAGGGAGGTTGAGTTCCTTTATCTCTGCTCCATTTTCTTCCTAAACTATACCTATGTCGATCGCAGCAGTCACAGGAGTCCCTCCCCGGGCCCCAACCACATCTCCAGCAGCAGCAGTCACCCCCCCAACTCCGCCTCTGCTCCCCCTTCCGCATCTGCGGCGCGACCCTCCTGCACCTTCACCCCCACCCTCGCCACCCACTTCAATGAGAATCTCATCAAACACGTGCAGGGCTGGCCCGCAGAACACGCGGAGAAGCAGGTCTGTACCAGCGGCCCGTCTCATCCCATTGTGGTTATTCACAGCGACACTCTTTTTAAAATTAGCTGTGTGTGTGTGTGTGTTTCAAAGGCATCACGACTACGTGAGGAGGCTCACACCATGGGAAGCATCTGTATGTCTGAGAACTGCACAGAACTCAAAAACTTGCGGTCCTTGGTCAGAGTCTGTGAAATCCAGGCGACATTGCGCGAGCAGAGGTGAGAATCTGTTTTTAGTCCATGTGTTGGCTTGGGAAGTAAACCTCAGTAGCAAAAACAACGTAATAACAACTGTTTTCTACATATTTTCCACAGGATATTGTTTCTAAGGCAGCAAATCAAAGAACTTGAAAAATTGAAGAATCAGAACTCCTTCATGGTCTGAGTCGAAGCAAGGGTTTGTGGGGCGAGCAGTTTAAAGGGGCGGATGGGCGGTGCAGAGACCCATTGCACATAGGTGGATGCTGCTGAGGGAGTGGTTTGTTGCGTTCCTCTCTCGTAACACGTAGGAGCTGAAGTTGGGTCGGCTTTGGACTGTCGAGCCAGGAGACCTGAAGAGCCGCCGCCGATTTACAAGACTCTAGAAAAACAAACCACAGAGGTGGATTGGAAAAAAAATGTAGATTTCTTGTAGATGTTATTATCTATGTTGTATATACATTTTGTAGATTGGAGCCATGGAAAGCCATGCCTATCAAAGCTTTTGACATCCAAACTAATCCATGCCTCGGCGGCTACATTCATTAGCTACCCTCTCCTTCACGATCGCTCGTATGCACTCTTTACAGCTTCATTTTCTTTGTCAATTCATGGATCACTCAACCATTGAGCATGCGCGATGTGCACAGCATCGGAGGAGGATGTTCCAAAGCCATTTATATCCGGACACTGAGACATCGACAGGCGCATAAAAAGCGTAACGCGCTGTCTCCGTAGTGTTTATCCTCATTCAATATGGGTAAGCTGATTTACTCTTGTCTTTACCCCCCAAACCCTCTATCTGCAGGTCTAACAAGACTTTTGGTAACTCTTCTGGTGGCCCTGCATGTCCAAGTTTGAAGGATATTTTTTTAAACAGTGCCTGGTGGAGTGATAACAAACTATAAAAACTTGATGTGATGGCGTGCTGCTTTGGTCCTCCCCTCCTCCTCTGCTGGCCTCCGCCCTGACCCGCCACATATCTCCTGAGGCATCAACACTTCCTTTGTAGGTTTTTCTTTGCGGTCCAATCACTTTTGGTTCCTCTTCCACCCCCTCTGACGTTGTACTTTTCATGATGAGGAGCACAATCCCACCCTGCTTCATTCCTTTTGTACAGTCGCTAATACAGTGGAGTTTTTATTTATAATGAGTCGTATAGGCGAGCGGTAACCCACCATCATTTGCAGTTCAGGAGTGACGCTATGGGTTTAGAAGAGAGTAGGGGGGTGGGGGGTCTCCTAGTGTCAAAGCAGGGCAACAAGGGGTCACAAGGTTAAATGTGAAATGTACTTATTGTAATAAAGATGTTCAACTAAAGCAAGCACTGGTTATTTTTCTTGGGAGTGTCTAGGTTTGGTTCATACGCTAGTGCCTTGTTGAAAGTCTTAAGTCTCACTGCCGCCGCCACCCACACACACACTTTGTTTCATCTCGGTGAGCATGTCGTGCACGGAGGGCGTTTCCCCCTCTCACTTACTTGTTTTGTTCCTAGCTGTTGAAAAGCCGGGTTGTAAGCTGCAAAGGCGTGCTTTTGTTTTGTTCTCCACCGTACTCTTATTGAGCCTATAACTGAACCGCACGACACATTCAGTGAGGATGACCACATCGTTGCTTTGTATATTGTTTCCTGAAGTATATTGACAAATGAAAATAAAATATGCCTCTCCAGGGGCCCGTTGTTCTTGGTTTCTTTTAGGTTGTCTTGTCTTGAAAGCTGTGTTGCAGATGGCTCTGAGGCCTGGGGGTCAAGATGCCATCTACTCGTCTGCCATGGCAGGAAAAGCCTGGTGGTTCTCCAAAGGGGAGCTGCAGGGGATTGCAACAATCTGAGCAGCAATGAGTAGCATTTGATTTATGTTGACTAAGCCAAGAATTTCTGAATTCATAATTAATCAATAACCATTTCGTTCCTATGTGTGGGGGAGGCGGATAGGCTTGTATATTTATCTAAACCGTAGTCAGCAGGTCCCCCTGCTGGTGGTCTTACGCTGCACACTGGGAACCTCATCAGGTGAGGCTCTATCATCCTGGCATTTCCTGACCCGGTCTCAACTTGTGAGACCTCAAGGGATTTATTTAGATCTCATGGTTATGATCGTGTGCAAATCTGAAGGTGGCCTGAAATGAGCTTTTAGTGGTCTGATGGCATCTAGTTTCTCTGCTTATTAATAGTTACTCATCCAGTCAGCAGTGAAACACTGTAGGTCACTTGTGAGTTTACATAGTTTATGAATATGCAAACATACCAGGGTTGAATTTTAAAAAAATCGGCATTTCAAAAAGGACATTAAAATTTTACATTGTATTATGTATTAATTTTATTTTTTTCTGACCTTCAATAAATGAATTGCTAACTGAGTTACAGGTGCTTTTCCACTCCAATCGGATGCAGATGTTTTCATATTGCATTTCGACACAGCCAAAGTAGTTGACAGCTCACGTGTGGTACCATGTTCTAACTGCAGAGGGCGCCAGCTGCTGAATCAGTCCGAAGCCATTTATTGCCACATATGTTGGTTACACAAAGAGGAATTTGACTTGGTGAATTGGTGCAATATAAGAATAAAATAGTAAAGTAAAATAAGAGAAATATACAAGCAAGAATTAAGAATATAAACATAAGTATGTTCAAAAACGTATGTATGTCCACATGTTTCCATGGTGAGAGAATGTGCAAAATGAGTATTTGGGTCAATAGGGTACTCGGACTTGGTTCATGAGACCAGCTGCTTATGGGGGAAAAAACTTTCTATAGCGAGAGGTCTTGGTCCTAATGGGCCGCAGCCTCCTGCCAGAGGGAAGGGGCTTAAAGAGTCTGTGTCTGGGGTGAGAGGGGTCGCCTGCAATCTTTCCTGCCCGCCACAAAGTCCTGGAGGGACGGGAGATTGCGGCCAATCACCCTCTCAGGAGCCCTCTATGGGTTTTCAATCAGTTAAAGGCCATCTGAGCAAACTCACAAGATAATTTCCATTTTCAGGATGTTTACTGACTTGCTGTGCCACACGGTGAACGGGGCATGACAACAAATAATAACTTTGCGTCTGACTTAACTGTAGTATAGTTTTCTTTCTTTACTGTATTTGCATCTAGAAAAATGGAATTCATATTTTTCCCTTGAACTTAGTGACTGTCTCAAATTGCGTACGCCTTTGATTATTTGTCATTTTAGTTTTCCTAGACCCAGAGCATCATCCTTTCTCATTTTTGACAAAATGATTAGTCTTAACGTACAGCTGAGTTAAAGTTACCATGCATGTGGGGTTTAGACGCTAAGTAAGGCCGGTTTAATAAAAGATCAGAAGAGAATTCTGGACGTGTCTCACAAATAACAACTACACTGCAGAAACTTTATGTGAAGTACTTAAAAATAAGATGACCCCCACCTGCACAGTTGTGGTCAGGAGCATTAGTATTGGCCCTAGAGAAGGGCCATTTCGGTGTTAAATGACTATCATTCAGGTTTAATTAATCTGGCGGAATGATTATGAAGAACTTCACCATTGAAAATGGGACTGCTTTATGGTATCAGAATCAATTTGCTATTTGTCGGATCTTGTTTAGCACTAATTGTTGAAGTAACCTTTATAAAATGAAATGTGAGTCTACTGCAGTGGTATTTTTACTGGCTCATAAACCCTTGAAGCCTGGCATGTTGTGTGACAAAGATATGTTCTGTATCTTTATATGCAATCATACATCAGTATAGTGCATAACTACATTCCTGATACCATTTTACCTGATTTAACTTATTTATTTTTCTTTCTTTATTGCATTTCACACACACATACAGTATCACAATGATTTTTTTCCCCCAACCTTTCATGATGTTTCTTATCACTCGGGGCCCTAAAGGACAGGAATGCTGCTGAATTCCCTCTCTGTGTAAAAACCAACAAAGACAAAGGTGAATGTCGTCGGTTTCCCCACCCCGGGGCCCTCAAGATAACTCCCCAACCCGAGACTGAAACATGCTGCGTCAGGAAGGAGCCGGTCGGCCCGTCTCTGGGTCTTCGGAGGCCTTGATATGGCTCACATCAAAGAGAAGGGGAGGAAGCCGGGAGGTGTTGGAGGAAGTCTGTCTGTCTGCCCTGGTGTGTCACAGAGACAGTTTGAGGTTCAGAACACCGCAGTGGGAATATTTGTGTTAAATGAGGTAAATTAGGTTAGGGGTCCTTCAAGGAGAGGGGGGGGGGGGTCATGGAAGCAGCTTGTGTACACGTGGTTAAACCCCGTCTCATGTAGTCTTGACCTGCTCTCTCCCCCCTCAACTCATCTCCACAGCAACCTAAAGGTCAGCAGGAGGTGGGTGGGGGCTTTTGTTAGGCAAAGCCCTTACAGTGTGAGTTGGTTTACACCTACAAGGGTCTCCTAATGTGTGAAAGCAGATGAAACCCATGGGGTAAAGCCCCTCCCTAGAAGGCCACTTACATGCCCCGTCCACTCCCATATGTGCTGATGACTTGTTGACGCTTATCCTCTCAGCATGACGAGACACACCGTTGTGTTACCCTACTGGTTGGCTTGTGAATCTCCCCTTCACACTCAGAAGGCAGCGCAGGTACTGATTCAGGCTCTTGTCATCTCCCGCCTGGACTACTGCAACTCTCTCCTAGTAGGTCTCCCTGCTACCGGCATTCGACCTCTGCAGCTCATCCAGAATGCAGCAGCTCAACTGGTCTTTAACCTTCCAAAATTCTCCCACACTACTCCGCTCTCTTCACTGGCTACCAGTGGCTGCCCGCATCCACTTCAAAACACGTACCATGCTGTGAATGGATCGGGTCCAGCTAACATCGAGGACATGGTCAAACTCGACATCCCAACTCGCACTCTCCGCTCTGCATCTGCAAAACTGCTTGTCACTCCCTCACTGAGAGCAAAACACTCGACAAATCACCACTGTTTACTGTCCTTGCTCCGAAATGGTGGAACAAGCTCTCTGAAGACATCAGGACCGCAGAGAGCCTTCACATCTTCCACCGCAAACTAAGGACACACCTCTTCAGACTCTACCTTGACTTTTAGTCAACACGAACAAAGTGTAGCACTTGAATTGTACTTATAATGCCACTTATCTATTGTAAATTGACTTATTTGAGGAAATTGCACTTTCTTGTTCTTCTGAGTTTGTATCCTTAAGGTTGAATGCACTTATTGTAAGTCGCTTTGGATAAAAGCGTCAGCTAAATATAATAAAAATGTAATGAATCTCGATCTGGTCGATGAGAGCGTGTGTACCCCTCCATGTGTCAAGGATTTTATTGGCATATGTCTTCAATATCTACAGCTCACGAGTCACGAAGAGCTCTACAAGGAGCTCTACTCAGCAGGTGAACATGGATGGATGAGAAGTGATGTTTTGGACATTTTTTGTATGCGTCTCTCTAACGCTAATCCCCTAACGTCTAATTTAAATAGGCAACACCTAATTAGTTTGAGTGTTTGGCATACGGTTAATTTGTGGAAAAAAAACATTACACCAGTTCTGACCACCAGGTGGTGATGTATGACCATCCACCACCAGGTGAAGCAGACATGGAGCAGCCTAGTGGAGGGGGCATTTCTGATCACTTTGAATGGAACTCTAAAGAATCCAAACATCGTACGCGTCAAAATGTCTTCAATATCGTATAAGTGCTACTCAAAGACCGGTGACGTGGTGCTTTATAAGAGGGACCCCACCCAGCCCCACAGACTCCACTAGACTACACACAGGAGACCGTCCAGCATGGAAATAGTGTTTGTGCTGACCTCCACCCTTTTCACCGAGCTCTCAGTATAGATACACGCTGGCGCCTCCTTGGAATTACAGATAATTACGGCAATTGCAGTGAGTCGTTTTCTGTGTTCCCTAAAGCGGTATCCGCATCCTGTTGTCTGTCGGGCACAATTACGGCCTGTGGACGCGTTGTACTTGCACGAGGAGTCGGGCAATGGTCCGTCTCTGCTCATGATCACACACACGGGATACAATAAAATATTTGCCCTCCGACTCTGCAGACCGTAGATTATGATTTATCTACTGATTATTTTGAGTTATATCAAAACTCCTAAGAACGTGTTAAATTAGAGTTAACGTGAATCATTTGTGCGTGTTTGTGTGTGGGTACATGTGGGAGTTGTGGGAGGGGGGCATTTGGTTGATACATATCGCGCGCGTGCATGTGTGTGCCGATTGTTAAAGGGTGTCTGAGTGTGCGTGTCGTCTCGGTGGCGCCATGTGTCCTTTTGGATTGCTAATTCCTCTGAACGTCTGCCCGCTCCTCCCCGCAGCAGCGGTCTGATGGCCCGAGGGGGAGAGGCTCAACGCGGCCTCCACTCGGCTGCTTGAGGGTTGGGGGGGGCGGGGGGGTAGAGACCTTAAAACACGTTATTGAGGCATCTTTATCCTTATCTGGAGAGTGTTTGGTATTTTGTGAACTGTTTTCGTTGTTATTCTGGTGTCATATGTTCATGTGAAAATGTCGACACATGAAAACAATAGACTAATAGTAACGTCAATGTCCAAACTGTGCAATACAGTTACGTGACGAATGGACTCAAACCATGACATGGAACATGGTATTATGGAAATGAAGGACGATGAATGAAGGGGTCCAGATGCACAAAATACAGAGTCGGAATATGGATGAGCTGTCTTAGAAAAATAATATAATTATAATAATCAGTGGGGGCGAGAGTATGAATCAATTATTTGAATGTACAGAACAATTTTCTCTGAAACATACCCCGTTTTAAACGGGAATTAACTTGGTCTGTTTTTGAATTAACTTTACCTGTTTATCATTTTAATTGTATGTTTTTCTCTTTCAATTCCTTGCTCCCTTTTAGAATGTTTTCCCCTGTGTCTGTTCTATGATGCAGTATCCTGCTAGCCAAATAAACTTGTAAAATAAGAGTACCGGATGTGACGTCATGACGCACGTTGATTGACTTCTCTCTTGCTGCTCTGACCAATCGTCTCGTAAGGGGCGGAGCTCTGGCGAGCCACAACTATTTCTCCGTTAAGCCGTGCGAGTCTGCGTGCAGTCTGTGGCACATCGGAGTCGGCGGTCCGTTTCCCAACATTTCTCCGTCCCGGAATACAAAAAGTGATGCTTCGTGGTTACCGGCTGCACATACAGGCAGAGGAGAACCGGTGGTGACAACTTTGCACCCCGTTTCACCCTCTTCCCTGGAGTATATACCTCTTTTTGTCTCCCTTGTTTTGGAAGAAGCAGAATAAGCTGTGTTTAGCTCTCCTGAAATGTCGGACCAGCTTTAAAGAAAAAAACACAGTAACTTGTCTGTCTTCGTGCGGGAGAGGAAACATTTCGGATTGGCTTTTGCTTTTTTTGTATATTTTTCTTCTTCCAGAAGAGATCGTGAGCTGTCGCGTTTCCGTGGGGGAATGACTCCCTTTTCTCCGTAGCTCCATGTAAATCAATTTTTTTGGGTGGTGTCGTCCAGCTCTTCGCCCGGGGGACTCCGTGCCGCTGCTCACTGGATACACGAGCACGTCTGCGCTGTAACTCGCTGTAAATGGAGCGCCAGCCCAGTTTCATTTCAATTTGGCTTCAACTGGAACTCTGTGCCATGGCGGTTCTCCTCACTAAAGGTACGGACTCGGTCTGCGGATGGGACGTTGAGCCCGGACCCGCGGGTCCACGTCGTGTGTGTGTGTGTGTGTGTGTGTGTGTGTGTTATCCAATCCTGCTGATTTAGTGTGCGTTTTATACGATAGTTATAATCAAAACATTTAACCCTACGTGTAATGGTGTAAATTAAGTGTTATGCAGTACCTTTTTTAGAACACTAATCCCGTTTAACTCGGGTTTGAAACTGCCCCATTCATAAAAGACCAAGCCGGGGCTGAAAGGCTTGCAGTGCTCGGCCTGTCTGCCTCTCTCTCTCCCCACTCTACTTCCCTTCCTCCCACCCACAAAGGGGCCTCTCCTCTAATGAAATATTCTCCAAATGACCTGCTTCTCCAATCAGTCACAGGGAAAACACTGATCTGATGAATGTGCTCCCGCATTAAGTAGAACACACATTGAGCTATTTCCAATATTGTCCAACTTCTTCTTATCTCAATGCAACACAACATACACACCCTTGCTATATGTGTGTAAGACATGTTCACAGTGGCACCAGAGAACACAAAGACGTCTTTACAAGACGTAAATCGTTTGAAGTCATGTTTTTGTTGTGTGAGGGCAGATCCCGGAGCCTACGTTTCTGTTTTCAGACTTCTCCTCGGGTGAAGTAATGAGTGGGCCCCTGAAAAGGAAGCACACAGCTATAATGATAAGGTAGCTGGGAGCTTTTAGATGGGACATTGGTCCCCCTCCCCTCAGGCGGTCATGACCACAAGTAACGCTTTGAATGCAGGGGGGGAGTGGAGGAGACTCTGGCTCCCCTCCTCCTTGCAAGTTTCCATTTGGGCTGAAAGAAATTGACTTTGGCAAACAAACCACTAATTATAAGCTACACAGTTCCTGTTTTATAATACAGTCAGAAAGGGGACCGCCTCGCTTCGAGGAGCTCTTAAATGGAGGCATACTTCCTGAATTGATGCTAAACTGGAATATTCCCAGGACGTGGCAGTCACTTTCATAATAAAAGTAGAGCAGAAAACTGGTTGCATTGGATAGGATTAGGTCCCCCGGTATTAGTATTTTGCGGAAGGATATATATGTGTGCAATAAATTTATCCCAATAAATATTGGGATAAATACATCTGAATTATGTTATCAGATGTTGTAATTGATAATAGCGACCCATACAAAGCCGATAAAGCACCCTGACAAACAAACCAAGTTGGAGTTCACACCATGTTATACATGAATTCAAACTATTGTTTTAAAGCTATAAATATACCTAAAGGTGGGGTCATTGTGGCGTAGAGAGGGTGCACCGGGAACCGCAAGGTTGGTGATTCGAGCCCCACCTTGCTCCCCGGGCTAAAATGTAAAAAGCCATGGGTTAAACATGCAATGTAAGTCGCTTTGGATAAAAGCGTCAGACCTGTAATGTTAAGGTGTTTCCCTATCCCTTCCCCATCTGGCGTTTCCAGGAGAAATAAGGTGTTACTGTGACGCGCCACACTGCGTGGCGACTGGATACATGTGCAAGTCGGAGCTCAACGCCTGCTTCACCAAGGTTCTGGACCCGCTCAGTGGAAACTCCCCCCTCACCCATGGGTGCTTAGACCCCATCACCAACGCGGCAGACATCTGCAGCAGCGTCAGCTCCGGGGCTGCCGATGTCCTCGGCGGGGCCTCTGCGCTGGAGTGTTGCCACGACGACATGTGCAACTATAGAGGCCTGCACGACATGGCCCATACCAGAGACTCAACAGGTAAAGATGACACCTTTCAGTGCTAATGATTTTTTAAATTATAATTACATTTTTTCCCCAATATTGCAGTCTGTGGCAGGGAATCTCATGATTCCTCCTCAGCAAATAAAATCTTTCCTGTACCAGAAGCAATGTGTTGAGCTGTAGGCTTCTTCAAACACTGCTCTTTATGGCCCCTGCTTTTTACTTGCTTCTACTTCTTCGCTTTACAGAACTTCTATTTGACTTTTAATGTGCTCCAGCTCTTTGCCTAGGAAGCCCGAGAGCCGCCAGTTTATTATGGGTGCACCATGTCATTTTCCCACTGAGTAGGAATGTGCCTGAATGAATATTCCCCGGCAACTCTTGCCCGTTGGACAGAAGTACGAGCTCTGGGAGTAATGAAAAGGTGCACAGAGAAACACAGGAAAGGGGGGGTGTCCTGTGGGAACCCGTCTGCCATGATGCCGACCGGAGGGCACGATAGTTTATTGGCTCAAATTAATTCCTGGCTCTTGGTTGGGTTAGGGTGACTCATTTGCGGCCCTTTCTAACATCATCGCTCTCGCCTGTGTCTTGTTTTCTCTCTCCTGGTTTCGGACTCGACCGAGAACCGAGCTTGCAGTATTTATGCATGCAAAGATCTGCTTAGGCATAAAGACTGAGTGGAGCATGCGTTTTTAAAACGAATCTTCTCTTGTGTGCGTTCTGCAGATCACAGCCGGTACCAGCCAGACAGCAGCAACCGGAACCTGGTGACGCGGGTCCAGGAGCTGGCCTCTGCCAAGGAGGTGTGGTTCCGGGCGGCGGTGATCGCCGTCCCCATTGCCGGCGGCCTCATCCTGGTACTGCTGATCATGCTGGCGCTGCGGATGCTGCGCAGCGAGAACAAGCGTCTGCAGGACCAGCGGCAGCAGATGCTGTCGCGCCTCCACTACAGCTTCCACGGACACCACACCAAGAAGGGCCACGTGGCCAAGTTGGACCTGGAGTGCATGGTGCCCGTCACGGGCCACGAGAACTGCTGCCTGACCTGCGACAAGATGAGACAGGCTGACTTGGGAAACGACAAGATCCTGTCTCTGGTGCACTGGGGGATGTACAGCGGTCACGGCAAGCTGGAGTTCGTATGACTCCCGCCACTGCTTCTTCTTGTCGTCGGCCTCTGCCCTTTTTTTTTTGTTTTTGTTTTTTTGTTTAAAAAAAACGAAGACATTCCCATGTTTTTTTCCGTTCACTGGACTTTTGGGTAGTTGGTTCTTTTTCAACTAGCGGTGGGGACAAAAAAACGACCAGACTGATGGGAGACAGACAGCGTGTTTTTTTTTTTTTTTTTTTTTTTGCTAGAGGAGCACTTTACTTGAAAAAATGAAAGGCAAAGCAACGAGTTGTATTTAAGAGTGGAGAAGGGCAGAACTGAGGCGGGCCGAGAGCTTCGTCACTGCTACCGAGGATCCTGGACTTTGACACTGAGCGCTGAAGGATTCCAAATCTGTCTTATTTGCACATTTGTAAAGAAAAGAAAACAAGTTGTTGCTTAAAACACAATTTTACGCCAGGGTACAAAAAACGAACTTCTCTGAGGACTACGAGTGTTGACTGTAGCACACTCCTCCGATGTACGCTTTCATGATTCAAGCTTGTTGTACAGATTTTAAATATATATTAAAAGAAATTGTCTAATAAAACTTATTGTGGGTGAATGTCTCTCTGTGATCAGACCATAAGCTTGATTGTGAGCGTGAAAGAACTTTCATTAAAAGGACTTTTTATGTATTTCACTATGCAGTCTTGTGTTTTTCACACAATATGTGACGACAACAAGGGAATGTGTATTACTCTCTGGTTGTGTGGGGATTTTTTGGCACACAAAGTGTCAGATCTTGTGTTGAACCGACAATGTGGCCTTGTCTTACTTGTTCTTGAACTCTCTCCAGAGGTCACGGTTTCCGCGTTTAATAACTTTTTCTTCTCACTGGTTGGACTCATCGTGAGGTAGTGGTGATATTTATTTTACACTAACCGTCATTCCTACAAAGCACCTCCCACAGTCCTAGACCTCAGTAAGAAACACTATCTCTCACCGTGTTAAAGAGGAAGGATTTCCATTTAATTTTGCTCCTATTTTGAAATGTTTGGCTCTTTATTTACTTGTCGAACAATCCCACTGAGAAGACTGAAAAGCCTTCTTTCTCCGTGACTTTGAGCTCCGTTGTTGACCTAAACTATTCTCATTTCACTGCACACTCCTAGTTTGACTCAAAACGATATTACGGAGCCAGAAACACTATTTATCCGCAGCTGAAAATAGTGCATTTCTCAGGGACTATTTCCTTCTCTTTGACTGGTGTTTGCAAAAAACACAACAGTCCTCTGTATTTATGAAGCTGTCACGTTTCCAAAAAATTGTCACCCCAAGTTTTCACCAATGAGGTTGGAGCTGAGTGCAGTGGGCAAAGGAGGACTGCTCTTCTCTTGGGGTTTGTTAACCATCAAAAATAGATTACCAGTTTTGGGCTTTACCCGCCATCATCTTTCAAAAGGCTGGTTCTCCCAAATGTATCAGTTAGCTGGTTTTTCTTAGTGCTTGAACCATCCTCAAACCGTTTTTATAGCCTGATTCAACAGTTTCTTATACAAGGGCTGGGTTTGAATTGTCAAAAGAAAATTACCTAACCACTATTCCTTGACCTTTGTGGAAAACCTCATGGGGTCAAGGAAAGATTCTTAGGAGAATTGATAAGGATTTAGGAAAGGAAAACTGCGGTATTTAGGGTCCAACTCATGTTAGTGATATCAGTCTGAAGCGGCAAAACTACAATGTATCTGAAGATGGACTACGAAGAAGCATCTTAGATGTCTTTGTCCATGTGTCCATGTGAGTGCTGAGTCACGCAAAAAACAACCAAATAACACAACCAGGTTCCAAGTGTTAGGTTATTAACGAGGTTGCAATATACATGAGTTGTGCGGTTACTTACGTGATACTTACTTGTGATCTGCGCTTCTCGGTCATGATCGTTATTTCTTGTGATACTATGTCATGATTTAAATATTGCCACCGCAAGGAATTGTGGGATGGATTCATCTCCCTTTTGTAACGGATTGTCAGGGGTTCCTACACTTAAGGAGCTACAGTAAGGATGCATTGAAGCTCCTTTCCTTAGCATTTAGAGAATTTTAACAGCTCTCATCATGGCGGTCACCTACAATACTTCTGGGTCATTTCACTCAGTTAGGAACCTTCCCAATTTTGACAATTTGAATCCAGCCAGGGACTGTAGAAGGACTAAAGGAAACATGTTACTTCCTGTCTGAACTCTGTGCAACAAGCAGATCGCCCGTCGCTCATATGTAAAGAGTTTACTAATCTCTATGTGAACATCACGCGGAATGAGATGCCGGACGCCCGGGTTGAAAAGTTCATACCCTCACAAGCAGTACTCACAAGTAAGGTGTGTGTGTGTGTGTGTTGCTGAGCGGAGACCCTGTTTTTCCATTAGAAGGACAGGAACACGCTATTAGCAGCTAACCACTTAACGGCAGCTTGTATTAGCGAGGTCCGGCCCGCACTCGGGGCCTCCCCCGGGACTATTACCCCTGTAATAACAACAATATCCTCAGCCTGGCCTGCCTAATGTGACTGCTGCTTTCTTTAGCCTGATTCCCCTCGGCCGGTGCACCTTGTGGGCATCAAGAGATGACAAGAAAATCGCCACGCGCAAAGCCTTAAAAAAAATGTCAGCTTCAACCTCCACGAGAGCAGAGGATACGCATTTCTTTTCCTTCGTGTAGCTGCTTTTTGTGCTGCCGCCACCTGGACCCACACACACAGACACACCGGAGTGTGGTACTGTAGCCCAGCAAGCTGTGCTGCGGCGGCTGTGGTCGTTGTCAATCTTGCCATTTTGCATAGCGCAAAATAGCGCAAACAGCGCAAAACAAGCTGTTTTTATTCACATGCAAATTTAACGAGGCAGCTCACTGGCCTCCGTCCAAAGGGCCCCAATTTGTTTTGAAGAGCCGTCTAGCCCCACCCCCCCACTAACCCTGTTGACCCTCAAAGGCCCGAGCGAAGGCCTTGTTCCCACCGCCTGTGGAACAATGTATAAGAAGTGTAAACACATGGAACCTGTTAACACCTCAGTGCAGTGAAGGATCCTGTCAGGGCGGCACCAGGCTCGCTCTAAACCCACCTGTGTTCTCCTCGGTTCCCTTCGATCTCGAGTCCTCACCAGTCGCCCCTGCTGCAACACACGTACGTTGTAGGGATGTGCATCTCCATCACTGAGGACGATGCGATACACATCTCGATGCACTGCCAACGTTCCGATACATTAAAGATACATAAAAGCAGGTACTAATGCGATACGATACGATTCAACCCTATTGCGATGCAGTGCGATTCGACACGATGCGATTCAACGAGATGCGATGCAAAATAATATAATTCTGTGCAATTTAATATGGTACATAATGATTTATTTATTTGTCAGACAACAAATAATAAACAAGGTCTCTGACAAAAGATAACATGCTTGTGTATATGTGTGTGTGTATGTGTGTAAGTGTTCTCTTAATTTGTATTATACCTGGCAATCACAACAGAATTTGCTTCATTCTAAACATATGGATCAACTGCCTCACACACTAAATTTACTAAATCACACTCATTTGTCCGATTTTGAGGTTTTTCTTAAGGAATATGAGTTGATCCACATGATCAGGATGAAGCAAACTGCGCTGTGCTGTAACTATGTCACCAGCTGTACTGAACACTCTTTCAGAGGGTACACTTGTTGCTGGGATGGACTTTGCCAAGGCTGAAAGCAGTGGAAGATCCACTTGTTTTTTCCACCACTGCAACGCATCACCACTCAGAGCTAAAGAATCCCTCTCTCTGTACTTTAAGATTTAACCGCTTCTCCCCACTCTGCGACACACCCGCTGAGAAGCCAACTCTGATGATAGGTAGCTCCATTCTGAGGAACGTGAAGTTAGCGAAACCAGGGACCACAGTCATGTGTATACCGGGGGCCAGAGCGAGCGACGTTGAGTCTTATCTTAAACTGCTGGCTAAGGATAAACGTAAATACAGTAAGATTGTAATACACGTCGGCGGTAATGACTCCCGATTACGTTGCTCGGAGGTCACTAAAGTTTATGTGGAATCGGTGTGTACATACGCTAAAACAATGTCGGACACCGTAGTTTTCTCTGGCCCCCTCCCAAACATGACAAGTGACGACATGTACAGCCGCATGTCGTCATTCCACCGCTGGTTGTCGAGGTGGTGCCCAGTGAATAATGTGGGCTTCGTTGATCACTGGAAGACGTTTTGGGGAGAGCCTGGTCTGATTAGGAGGGACGGCATCCATCCCACTTTGGACGGAGCTGAACTTCTTTCTAAGAACCTGACCCAGTTTCTTAGTGGACTTAATCCATGACCCAGAGTTCAGACCAGGGAGCAGAGAGTCTTACACACTTCTCTGCGCTTCAATCTGAGCAGTCACTCAGCATAATGAACCCTATAGAGACCTTGTCTGCCCCACGAACACAGTTATCTAAGTTAAAGGTAAACAACCGAGGAGTTATAGTAAATAACTTAATTAAAGTTAAAACTAATAATGCAATAGTGCAACAAAATAGGAGAATTAAAGGGGGGCTTTTGAATATCAGATCTCTGTCATCTAAAGCTGTTTTGGTAAATGAACTAATATCAGATCACCATGTTGATGTATTTTGTCTTACTGAAGCGTGGTTGTTGAATGGGGAATATTTCTTCTTTAAATGAAGCGACTCCTCTGAGTCATGTTAATACTCATATTCCCCGAGGCACAGGCCGAGGGGGGGGGGAGTGGCAGCTATTTATGACTCCTGCCTTTTAATAAACTTTAAACCTAAGGTGGATTATAACTCATTTGAAAGCCTGGTTTTCAGTCTTTCGCAACCGACCTGGAAAATAATCCAGCCGGTTCTCTTTGTAATAGTGTACAGAGCCCCAGGTCCTTATTCTGAATTTCTTTCTGAATTTTCACAGTTCTTAATGAGTTTGGTCCTTAAAACGGACAAGGTAATTATTGTGGGTGACTTTAACATTTATGTGGATGTCGACAACGACAGCCTTAGTACTGCATCCCTTTCATTGTTAGATTCAATTGGTTTCTGTCAGTGTGTAAATAAACCAACTCACTGTTTTAACCACACTCTCGACTTGGTGCTTGTGTATGGGATTGGGATTGAACATTTAACAATTTTTCCACAGAACCCTCTCCTGTCGGACCATTGTCTGATAACCTTTGAATTTCTACTATCAGAACCACCTCCTCCTGCCAAGGGTTTCTACAGTCGACGCTTATCGGATACCGCTTTAGCCTTATTTAAAGAAGCCATTCCTTCTGCTCTAAGTTCAGTGCCCTGCCTCAAGATACAAGAAGACTCCTGTGAGAACCTCAGTCCGTCCCAGATCTATAATTTTGTCGATACTGCTACAGGCTCTTTGAGAGTGGCGCTGGACGCTATTGCTCCTCTGGAAAGAAGAATAGCAACAAGAAGGAAGTCTGCTCCGTGGTATAACCCTCAAACACGGAACCTAAAGCAAACTGTGCGGAAACTTGAACGATTATGGCGTTCCACCAAATCAGAAGGATCTAGGCTAGTTTGGCAAGACAGCCTTAAAACGTATAAGAAGGCTCTCCGTAACGCAAGAGCATCTTATTACTCATCATTAATAGAGAAAAATAAAAACAACTCCAGGTTTCTCATCAGCACTGTAGCCCAACTG